ATTTGCGAAACTTATACAAGCTAAAAGTTGAAATGAAGGAAAAAATATATTTTCTATTAAAGGGTATTAGAACCTGATTGTTGCATGGTTTGGTTTCTAAAAAATAAGTGGAATATCATTCGTTAAGCAAATACTATAAGGAGGAATATTAAAAAGAAATTTTATTCACTTGACAAATAAAGAATCTCTTTTCACTTAAAAAGGGGTCATTTTTCAATGGGGGTCGTTCTTTTATAGTACTAACATATAAAATAATGACCCCCTAGGACAAAAAATGATTTTTTTCTACGGGTAGGGGGTCATTTTTTGTCGTTGAAAAATGACCCCCGGTCATTATTCGATGGGGGTTAATATTCGTCTTTACACCGGAAAATCAACGGTCGTACAACTTAGACCTGTTTACTTGTTCCACGTGATTTCTAAAATGGCACTTGCATACAATGTAGGGTTTACAATCATAATGAAATATTAGTTAAAAGCAATTCTCAGAATCAAAATATATTAACTCTCCGGTAGATTAATGATAGTTGATATTTTAGTCTGAATTCAGACGAATTTAACATGATTAAGTACAAATGTTGCCGCTTTGTGTATTGGGGTGCAGGAAAGGAAAATCCACCAAAGCATATTTCATCGCGGCAAAATGTCGAACAAAATATCTTTCTGCAGTTCCAATACAATTTGCATTTCTAGTGGCAATAATTTTTTATATGTCATAAGTGCATTTTTATGTTTAGTTTACATTGATTTTTTTTCATTGAAAGCATATGGATATACGAGAAATGATAGCATGTATCAACAAACCTGTAGGGCTAAACCTTTGCGAGCCCCACTTGAATGCCGCCAAGGTCCCGTTTCTTCTTCATTTAATGATTATATTAAATCCTACAAATTTTTGTCAGGAAAGTTGTTTTTTTAATCTAAATCCCTAATTTTGGTTTTGTTTTTCGTTTTGGTCGACTTTGTCAATAAAGCAGGCCTACCGGGATTCCCTCTCTTCCTATGCTGTTTTGTTTATTAAAACTAAAAGCATGCGTCATGTACGTGTATAGCATGGAATGTGGAACCTTCCGATGTATATATTTATGTACCATAAATAATAATTCATTTTAATGAAATAATCAGAATTATTTACTTATAAAATTTGTAAATTTCGGAAAGTGTATACATTTATGAGTATGAAAAAAATTCCAAATCCTATAGGAAAATTATAACAAGTCTGTTTTTGAAGAGATGCGTGAAATTGCCACTTTAATATTAATTGTTAATTTCCCGTTGTTTTTTTTTTTTTTTTTGATTTGTCATATAAAATTCAATGTAAAGGAGCACTAGAAGATAAATTAATGGAAAAAGATGAATAAATATATCTTTATACCGGTTCAATTAGGGTTTATGGATAAGTGGTTCCGTAAAAACGATCAAAATCTTTCAACATCTTTGGACCTAGGTTGTGTATTCGGGGGTGTTCCTGTCCACAAGCACATGTGAGTACAAAAGGAGTATCTATGAAATTGGGTTCAAAAGAGTACATGTATCTCTAGTGGTTCTTGAATCATTATTTATCTCCATTTTCCAGTGTTTGTAGTTATAAGAAATGTAAAATTGTTATTGTGATCAACTAATCACATCAAAACATTTTCACTATCAATTAAATTTCATAACGTAATTTTTCTATAACGGAAGAATCAGTTTGAAAAAAAGAGAAGAAGTACTACAACGTCAAGCAATGCAATAATTTCTATCACATATTAAATTAAAATGAATTGGTTCCAAACACATAAAATTGTATAATTTCTGCATGAATTATTTACTTGCAGTCAACAGGTCCGAATTATTTACCCGTTTTTCCTAAAAGGGAGGGGTGTTAGAGTAAAAACCTTAAAACTTTTTTTTAAAGAGGGAGATCTGTTTCATGCAATTATTATAATTATTACATTACGAAGGCTAAATTAATTATCGAAAACTATAAGTACAGTTTAAATAAAACAATATTGACCATCCCATCATATACAGGCAAGGACAAACTTGATCAAATAAAGAGATTAAAAACTGGGGGAAGTAAACCCATAGCTTTGACCACAACAGCAGATCTTTTTTTTCAGTCAATGGAGGGAAGACCGAATATATAGGGAATCAAATCCGGGATTGATACATACGGCGAGAATATACATATCATTCAATGTTTAAATTTTATTAATGATGATTTTAACAAATTAAATTACAAAATTATACTATATAATAATGCTACGTTTTACTCAATTAAGTAAGTATAAGGTACTAGTATTTCACTTTAAAAAGTAGAAATATCAGGATTTGACAGCGCAGTTGGCGATGGTCCTACATGGTAACGGTGCAATTCGAGAGGAAAACCAGTGTAAATATTTTTAAACATTAAGTATTTTCATTCGAAATAAAATTGTATTTCCTGATATTTGATTTTGAAAAAGCAAAATCTTATATAAAAAATTATCATTTTTTATTTATGCAGTTTCACAGTATCAAAGACAAACCAAGGTAATGCAAAACCGCAAGAACCAAATATTAACAAATCAACATCTTCAACTGCTACAACTACGAATTACACGTATAGAAAATAAAAAAAAGTAAAATGTGTTATGTTCAACAATATTACGTTTTTGATGTTGGCAATTAATAAATAATAATCAATAAATCATACTACTGTTTCTTTTTTGACGATATTGAGAGAAAAATTTGAAAAAAATGATGTTCGCCATTTTGAATCACAATTTTCATGTAAGTAAGCATATTTTTTGGATTCCGCATACACAAAATAGGTTAAAAAAATAATGCTGGTCCAAATAATAATTATTCGCCGTTATAAATTATTTGAAGACTTCTGTATAAAAATCAGGACCAGACAAAAATCTCCTCCTCTGCTCCCGAGTATCAAATAAGCTCACGAAGTACATAGTTATGCTGCGAAAGTCCCTCTTCCAAAATTGTAAATTTAATGGCCCCATGGTCATGGGTTCTAATGTTGGACGGGGGTCTATTGAATATCTATCTCATTTCATTCGATACGCAAGAGCATGCTCTACGTATGAACAATTTCGACAAGCAAGTTGATGAAACAAGAATATTAGCAGTCTCGTTTAGAGTCATCATTTTGCACGTTCTATGATGGCTACAATGACCTTGTCAGCAAATACAATTTATCATAGAGTCAAATGCTGACTGACGTTTTTCATACCAATTGTTAGACTATTATTATTTATACACTGAATTGGAGATGGATTTTTCCGTTATTTCCTGAACATGACAAGTTCAATTTAATAATTCTCTCAAAGTTTTCTTCTCAGATCTTAGGTAATACAGTGTATGGAATAATCTTATTAAGTATAGATATATACATGTAATGTATCAACCAATTTGGTGAATTTCTTGATCCCTTTTTCAGAGGTTTTGCCCTTTGATGTAGGGGGTGAGAGTTATTTAATACATGCCTCCTTGGTAAGAGGTATTGGAGGGGTAAGTTGGGAGGATTAAATAGTCTTGTCTTTGGAAGAGGCTTAATATCATAACATAAAAAATGGATTATTCTTAGAATGTTTTCTCCTTAGAACTGGAAGATGGAATACTCAGTAGACGTTATATTTCAATAAATTGCAAATGTGAACAAAACTCACCCAGTAAAGGTTTACAGATGAAAACAAATTTCAGAATATGTGAGCTTGGTGCTAAGCGTGTAATATATAAACTTTAGAAAAATATACCAAGCCAGGTGAATTTTAGTATAGGAAAATCAAATTGGTAAAAATAAGTTTTTCTTCATTCATTTTACTTAAAAAATCATATACTTTTCTAAATTTGTGACATGATATTAAGTCTCCTCCAAAGAAAAAAAGTTTATCATCTGTCCTTAAGGACAGATGTTACAAAAAAAAATTTCTTTGGAGGAGACTACGTATCATGTCACAAGTTTAGAAAAGTGGATGTCTTAAAACCTTTCCTCCTAATAACTGGAAAATGAAATATACTTGTAAAATATTACTAATATTTCAATAAAAAAAAAATATTGACAAATCTTGGTGCTTGATGCTTAAAATGTATATATAAACTTTAGAAAAATACACCAAGCCAGGTAAATTTTATTAGGAAAAGCAAAAAATAGTATAAATCACCTTATATCATATGGGCTGAGTTTTACCATTTTGCTTTTCCTCATAAAATTCACCTGGATTTGAATATTTTTTTTAAGTTTATATTACACTTTAAGCACCAAGATAAAATATTCTGAAATTTATTTTCATCTGTAAACCTTAACTGATTGTGTTTTATCCAATTTTTATAAGTTACTTGAAATATTACTAAATATTTCCCAAATCTATTTCATTTTCCAGTTCTTTGGATAAAAAATTAAAAGATTTATCCACTTTTCTAAACTTGTGATATGATATTAAGTCTCCTACAAAGATAAAATTTGTTTGTACCATCTGTCCTTAAAGAAATATGTACTCTGTAAGCAGGCGATAAGAGTATATTGCTACATAGGCAACCTTCTGGTAATATATCGAATATGAAACAGATGTGTTAGACTTTATTTCAAAAGTTCACTGGAATATCTCTATTCGACATATGACTGGAAATAATTATTGTTAATCAATTCTATACAGTTGTAATATGTCGTTGATATATATCTTAATATCAAGTTTAAGGTCACAACAACAATTTTAATTCTATCTCTAATTTATAAGTTGTTGAAAACTTCTGCTTTATATGAATTCCAAATTATTTCTGTTTAGAACGGTGTATAATTGGTACACAGACTGTCAGGTTACTAACATTGCTCTGAGTAAAGTGTACAATGTGCAATGTATAGGCCTACACCAAGATTTCAGCTCTGTCACGGCACTCACATTGCTCAGAAGATATGTATTATGCCGGTTTACTCTTATTAGCAATTTGAATACTTTAAAAAATAAACGTAAAAGGAAACCACTGCATCTGGAAACAGCAGTCGGAACAACAATGATACGTACAACAATTGATTTTAGCCGTGAAAAAAAAATCGATGCGAATTTCTAACATTCATTTTTATTAGTAAAATTCTTAAAGCACAGGCACTGATGAAAGAAGATGCAGTTCTGTTCTATGTATTTTAACAAACATGCTACTTTATGTTCCTTGTTTAATTTTGAATAATTTTCCTCGTCTTATCCTACAATATCAATTGGTTCACCTGCCCTGAAACAAAGAGATATACAAAATTACAATTTTGTTAAAATTTAAAAAAAAAAATAATAGCTTAATACAAGTTTAATATATCTTTTTCTTTTGTTAATGATTATTTATGAAAAATTGTGACAAAAGACTAATTCGGAGAAGAATTTAAATAATCGTGTATTTTAATTAGATGGATGTTTTTGGGTTCAAGCAGACAAAGTGATATAGAGAAGTCCAGATGGTAATGCTTACTTAAAACCTTGTTAATACTTTGGATAATTCCCACACTACGTGACTTTTGTTGAACAGTTTTTTTTTCTGTCAATATATAAGGCCCGAGGTGGGGATTGATAAATGTTGTTTAACTGTGGTGAAAATGAACATTAGGGAAATTGTTGTTTTTTTCCGGAATGGGAGGGGAGGGGGGGGGTTAATTTACATACATACCAGGTATGCAAGATATTTTAGAAGATAGAGAACAATAATTTCAAAATAGAGTTTTTGGTTAAAAAACAATAAGGATAATATAAAGTCTATATATTCGTCTTACTCCATTTCGCATATAAATCCCGCCTTAACTGTACAGAAATGATCGTTCCAATGAAAATTATCCGGCGTAAAGAACATGGCACAGTCCTGATGACTCTGGTAGTTGTCGGGCTGATTTGGTGACCAGTCCTTAAATGATGCCGTAGTCTGGGTGGAAGTCCATACCCACTCTCCCTCAAAGACAATGTCTGATAATCCTATCCAGTACCCCTCTGCAATAGATCTGATGCATGTAAGTCGTATATGATTCATAGTGGTAGACAAGGGTTGCACTTCTCCATCCTCCTTTTCTATTTAAATATCTCATTATCTCCCTCTCCACCCTTCCCCAAAATTCCGGATGCCTTTCCGTCTTAGAGAACAAACAAATTCAAGCTTTATAAAACAAAATTGGAACATAGCAAACAGGGAGGTCCAAAACAACAGAGGTGGGATCAGGTGCTATGGAAGAGTGAGTATCCCCTGCCGACCGCGGTCACACCCACCGCCTGCCCCGTCGACAATTCAGTGTGTAAATAATGGACTTACAATAACTATGAAAAAAGTAAGTCAGCATTTGACGAAATAATAAATTGTATTTGCTGAAAAGGCCATTGTATCGATCACTTACGAAAATGGTTCCTTTTAACAAGACCTCTGATATTATACGTATTCTTGTTTTATCAACATGTTTGTCAGTAGTTTACCTCGTTTTAGAAAATGTTTATATGTAGATCATACTCTTTGCTTATCGAATAAACTGAGATATATCACACTACAATTTATATTCCTTGAGATGGATGCTTTTGAATTACTTTTTACCATCACATCATAAATAGAAATATACATAATTATACTAGAGGTACTGTGAGCAATGAGTAATTATACCCCTACCACCATATGAATTAGTGACAGTATGCATGTTTTGCTATGTGAAACCCAAAATATGTAGCGGATCTAAAAATAAAATAGCAGATGCACAATGGCATTGTGTAATAAAGATTCTTTGAAAGTCTCATCAAATTCATTCAATGGTATATGAGGAGTTGCGAATAAGAGATGGCACCCCGAATCGAAGCGTGACAGTAGGACAGGCGGACGGACGGATGGACATACCGACTCCGATATACCCTTCCGCCTCAGAGTGGGGGGTATAAAAATTTGTATACCCCTCACTCTTTTTGTTCTTTTTATGTTAGCTAAATAAAAAAACTCGCCTTGTGGATTTGGATATGTGAGCGGAGAAAGTTGTTTTCGTCAACTGTCTCAATTTCCACCAACTTGGATCCACACCTTTGACAAAATGACTGAAATTTTCTTGCATTATACAAGCACATAAAACAAAGAAAAAAAATGAAAATAAATACATTTCAGATCTGATCGTGGATAAGTAGTATGACACTGAAAATTTAGATTTTTTGCGGAGAAACAGTAATGATAATCGCAATTGAATTTTAGAGAAGTAGAACTGGGAAGAAACATTTATCAAAAACTAACTTCTAAATGTCGAAATAAGTGCATTGAGTCTTATTGTACTTTTTCTTATATAAACGTTTTGTTTTGTGTCGCGTTACACCAAAAATGTTTATCAGAGTAATACATGTACATAGTTGTATTTTTTAATATATAAAATATATATATAATAAAAACTACGACTTTTTTTTTCTTTTTGAACAACTGAGTAAATTAATTGACTCAAGTATATACCCCGGCTTCGATGAAGTCCTCGGGAACATCTTTAATGAACAGGTAACAAGAAAATCCGTGCTTAATCCAGTGAGGAGGACAGTCATCCGACCATACTACTGAAAAATCCAACTAATAACATTTGTTGACAAACATAAGAATTCAAATAAATAGATTGATATTTAAACAAAATAAAATGAATTAACTTGATTGTAAAACACCGATTCCCTGTATGAAACTGTTTGGCAAAGGTTGAAGGTCTCATATTCTAGTCAAAGGTCAAAATCAAAAAATGAGAATAGTGTTACCCAAAGAGAATACTTGTCTCAATGAATATAAGGAAGATCTTATCCTAAGAAATAAACTTGCAAATTATGAAAGCTCTGGCATCAACTGTTTGAAGATTAAATATTTTCAAAGTAAATTAAAATCCAAGGTAAGGGTCAAAGGCAAGCATAGTTGATATCCAAAGGAAGTTCATGTCACAAGAAATATCACTATAAAATTTGAAAGCCCTAGTCCTAGTGCTAACTCTTTATAAGTTATTACTTAGGGCAAAGTTTTTATTAAAAAGGGTCAAAGTCAAGAGAACGGATATATTTATACCCTTGGAAAATCTATAATGATAATAATAATTATAACACCTGAAACATGAAAGCTCTCGCCACATCTGTTGACAAGTTATGACTGAGGTTAATTTTGTGAAAAATGCGGTCAAAGTTCAAGATCAGGACGTGAAATTTGTTGGTACCCAAAGAATGGTCTAGTCAAAAGAAATGTGAAATATAAAATGCCATAGGTCCAACCAATTGATCGCTATGGTTATAATGTTAAAGTTTTTGCGGTCAAACAGACAAATAGCTACAGTCCCTGAAACGTTCTACTTTCCCACCTGAACGGTGAACGAACGCTGAACAAAAGCAGAGCGAACGGTGAGTGAACGATGTGTGAACGGTGAACGCAACTTGGTGAACGAAGTGTGAACGGTGAACGGTGAGTGAACGCAGAACGTGAACGGAGCGCGAACGCGAGCGCAAAGTGAACGGTGAACGAACGGTGAACGCAAGATGAACGATTTATCCGGAATGCCTTTGGTCTTTTCCTTGCATTGAAATCATTCTTTAATTCTATAATTTAAATGTCATTAATGAATATAAATAAACAATAGATCAACAAATATGCCGAAGGCAAAGAGTCACTTAATATTCCAAGAAGTTTTAATATTTTTCCCTATCATTTCTAGATTTAATTTTTGCATTCCTGCAGAAAAAAAAAATAATTCGAAAATATACTTGGAAGGATTAAGTTTTAAATTGATGTGAAACACATTCCCTGCCAATTTAAAATACTACTGTCGGCACAAGTTTATACTAAAATTCTATTGTTTAATGACTGTTTGATGTTGGTTTTTTAGACTGGTTTTCTTGTGTTACAATAAAAAATTAAATATGAATTGAAATTTACTGTAAAATTTTAAATAAGAATTTTATTTCGGGAGAAAGGGCAGCAGGGGGGGGGGTCTTAATTATACAGAATGGCAAAAAACATATTTTTAAACATATGTGTAGGTACAGTGAAGGAAGGAATTTTCCTTCTCTAAAAATAGACTATTTCAAATAGTTTCTAAAATTTAAAACCACACCATTAATTTAATTATCTCTAAAGATATTTAGTTAACTGCATATTTGCAGTACTGTTCATAATTCTCAAACCTACATGTCGTTTAAATACGTGGTACTCGAGAAATAGTTTTTTTTATTTAGTTTTTTTTTTATTTATTCTTGTTCTGTAAAAGACTTATTTCTCATTATACATCCATTAATAATTTAACCTCTTTAAAATTACATCACATTGATGCTGTGCGTGAAACATTTGTACATTGCCCTTTTTTAAAGATATTTTTTTTAGCATCGTTCTACATACATGTGGATACTTAATGTATTAATTATTTTTCCAGAGAATATTCATGAAATAAGTAACAACTGAGTTATAATAATAGAAATATTAATATATAGATAATTTTTGCAATGAAATAATTATTCTTCTAACACGATATCTAAGTTATATCTAAGTTATTTAATTAAAGAACATGTAAATCCTTACCATCAAAAAGATAAGTCTTTTCACTTCGGAGTTCCGAATGACAATGAAGACTGAACGGAAAGTGAACGGTGAACGCAAGGTGAACGCAAAGTAAACGGAACGAAGAGCGAACGGTGAACGTTTTGTGAACGGTGAACGCAAGCGCACGGTGAACGGTGAACGCAATACTGTGAACGAAGAGCGAACGGTGAACGCACGCTGAACGCACGCTGAACGAACGGTGAACGAACGCTGAACGAACGGTGAACGAACGGTGAGCGAACGGAAAAATGGGAAAGTAGAACGTTTCAGGGACTGTAGAGAGACAGAAGGATAGGGCAAAAACTATTTACTAGCTCCCCGAATCTTCGATTGCGGGGGCAGGAAAAATAGAATACAAAATAAATTCAAACATTAAAAACTTATACTTGTGAGTGGTATTGGTTGATCCCTTTTCCTTTACATTCGGTAGGTTCATATTGTATGACTCTTCCTTCTACATTAACAGTCTGAGTGTTGTGTACTTTCCAGGCGGTTTAAAGTCGTTTTTTGTTAATTTTCTAGGCACATTTATTAACTCTAGTCAGCATATTACAAAAGCTCGAGAATGGGATTAGTTTTATAGTTTTGGCCCCGGGATCATGAAACATCTTAAGCTTAAGTCAAAATTTTTATGGTGTGGTGAAGTGTTGTAAAAGTCAAACAGTCAAAATCAAAAATACTGATAAATATTGCATCACCAATTTGCTGTTAACTGTCAATTTAGAGATTAAGTTGACAACCAATAAACATTTTACTGAAGATTCGCCTGCATATTCTATAGATTCGCACATGGATGAATTAATTTATGATAAGAACCATACAAAATTCTTTTAGGTATACCCTTTTTAATCCCAGCAATACAGATTGAAATTAACTATGATAGCTATGCTATATACAGGCAAGTAAAGGTGTAAAATATTTTTAACTTACCATTTGCAAAGCAAACAAAAACGAATGCAATTGACAAAATAAGATTCATTTTTTTTGTGTATTAAGGTAACTCCTAAGTTCTTATCAGAGCAATATTATATATTATGGTCACTTCAGACCATGACACACTTAAAGGATGAGATTATTTTATCTTAGACTGTATGATAGAAAGTTGACAATAAGAGAGCCTAAGATTGTTTTAGGATTCTTAAAAACTTTCGACTTTTCAACTTTTTACACAACAATATCCCACGACAAATTAAAATCCAGGCTTTTTTATATCACTGACATCTGCTCCTTCAATAGAAATGGAACTCGTAAATTTACTGGTCATAGGTCATTTGCAAAATTATTTTGTTAAAACAGATTCTGATTGCACACATAAGTACTCTATAGTTAACATAAAGAAGATGCTTGAGTTTCTGATTGAGAATATCTATGAGGTTTTTTGGAGACCAGGTATTCTACAATCTATTGGAATCCCCATGGGTACAAAATGCAATTCGTTATTAGCACTTATTTTTATATATATTTATATGAAGCAGAATTTATGCAAAAGCTTATGCGTGAAAAGATGAAAACACTTGCTGTGGTCTTGCTTGTAAGCTTGAGATAAGATACCACAGAGCCCGACACGTCTGCTTCATACTTGGATATTTTACTTGAAAAAGACACTAATGGTAATCTAACAACCCTGCTGTATGATAAACGTGATAACCTTAACTTTTCTATCATCAACTTCCCTTACTTATGCAGTAATATACCTTCATCACCTGCATACGAAGTATATACGTATTCGTATATCTCAGTTGATTCGATACGCAAGAGCATACTTTTCGTATGAACAATTTCTAAAACGAGGTAAATTATTGACAAGCAAGTTGATGAAACAAGAATATCAAGAGCTTTTGACCAAGAGATCATTTAGTAAGTTCTATGGTCGATACAATAATCTTGTCAGCAAATACAATTTATTATTGAGTCAAATGCTGACTGACGTTTTTCAAATCCAATTGTTAGTCCATTTGTAGTTATTTATACATCGAATTGACGACGGATTTTTCCCGTTATTTCCTGATCATGACAAGGAGCACACGGCGGGTGTGACCGGTCAGCAGGGGATGCTCATTCCTCCATGGTACCTGATCCCACCTCAGATGTTACAAAGGTCCGTGTTTGCTCTGTTTTTATTTTGTATTGTTTTATAGACTTTGAGATTGAATAATGTTCGTTATCTCCATATCCTTCGTTTGGCTAACATGATTATACGAGTATAATGCTCCAAAAAACAATTATTTTTTTTACATATTAGCTAACACACCATTTGTTTTTTTTTTCTAATCCCACCAAAATATTAAAATGTTTTCTTTAGTTGTTTGTTCGGGAATACCTAGGTGTAGCCCTTATGGGGTTTAATTAGAATTTTTCATAGAAATATCCGTACGTAGCCTTAACTCACTTGCGAATGTCGCAGTTGCTGCAGAAAAAAAAATACAAAACCCGCGTACTAACAATCAATATATGATATTCTCTGAACAAGCCGTGCCTGTAAAACATTAATATGCCTGTTTGACAACAAAGCGCAGATTTAACTTTTCTTAAATGCAACATTAATAAGATGGTACCCAAAGAGATACAATTATGAAATATGACGCCCTAGTACCACCTGCTCAAAAGTTATGACTAAGTTGAAAGGAAAGAGCCAAAGGGTCAAAGCTGTGAGTGTTTATAGAAAAGTCGTATCACAAGGTTTATGTATAAATGTACATGTTTAAAGTAAGAAGCCATAGCCTTAATCGTTCAAAAGTTATGACCGTGGTTTAAATTTTTAAAGTACGTGAATCTCCAAGGTCAAAATGTAAAAGTTCTTGGAATCAAATACGAGGTCTTGTCACAAAAAATAAATTTGTGAACTATGAAAGTGTTAGTATATACCGTTCGAAAGCTATGACCAATGTAAAAATTTGGGTTTTTGTGTAAAAGTGTGTCAAACTCTAAGGTCAAAATTTCACATTTGGCGGTACCCAAACAAAGGTCCTGTCGTATGGAATACATATGTGCAATATGAATGTCATAACTCTACTAGACAAAATGATATGGACAAGGTTAAAGTTAAAGTTTTTTGTGGATAAACAGACAGGCAAACAGAAACACAGACAGACGGGCGTACACGACAAAACCTATAAGGGCTGGGATATCGAGATATCGATATATCGTGATATCTGTGAGGACGATATGCATATCGATACATTTGAAGAAATATCTAAATATCGCCCAAAAAATCTTACTTCTGTTTTTCTCAGTTTATTTAACATTTGGGGTTTAATATATAAAATAAACTTAATATAAATATTGATATGAAATAAATGATAAAAAACACCACTTGAGTATAATATTTCTGCTTTACAACAAATAAACAACTATTTGAGAAAAAATACTCTTATTTGCATAGAATAATTTGTTTATTTCAATGCAAAAACTCGGCCGCGACTGACCTAGTCGTTAAAATTGGTAGCAACTGTTCCTTCGCCATGCGCTCGGCACTTTGAAGTGAAAGTTGCGGGTCCTTCGGATGAGACCTTAAAAACCGAGGCCCCGTGTCAGCGGCAGGCGTTGGCACGATAAAGATCCCTCACTGCTCAATGGCCCTGAGTGCCGAGTACAGGTCAAAATTTGAAGCCCTTCACCGGCATACGGTGACGTCTCCATATGAGTGAAAAATTCTCGAGAGGGACGTTAAACAATATACAATCAATCAATCAATGCAAAAAAAGATTTTATATTAACCAAACATATTGTGATACATATCGTATAGTGGCTCAAATATCGAGATACATATTTATATAGGAAAAGTTGTGTCGTCCCAGCCCTAAAACCTTATGTATCCCAAATCTTTGATCACGTAGGCATAAACGAAAGACACTGTTTACCATTTATTATCTCATTGTATTTAAATTTCAGTGGAAAATTGCTATAAAATGATGTTTTTTTTTCTCTTCCCATAAGTAGCCCTGCTCTGTAGAAGACAGAAAGCATAAATTCATAGTTTGAAACAATGTATATGTCTAACAATAATTGACTGGCATGTATAAAGAGCAACAAGCATTTTATTTCAAATTTGTATGACAATTTGTCAAAAAATCTCATCAATATTGGAAAAGGTAAAACTTGATGCTTGATACACTGTGCACCAGTATTTATTGTAGATTGTATTCCAAAACGTGAATAATAAGTCAAATATGGTAGATGTAAAGGATGGGACGGTGAATCATTTTGTAAACTTTAAGTGACGATAATTTGCATGCTGAATTAAAGATTGGAAGTCATCTACAAGGTCGAATCTTTCTCTCCCTTACCTTGGAGAGTCAGGTAAAACTATCTCCTATTCACACTCCTTAGCTGTCAAGAAATTCTCTGTGTAAAATTTAAAATCTTTATTTTTAGATTTGCAAAAATTCCATACAATGCATATTTTGAAAGATAAGGTAAAATGGGTTTTTGGGGTATTTGAGAACCGATTTGGTTATAAAGTGGTTTTTTCTCCGTAATTTTGTAATTTGACAAAACATAAGGCATGATAAGAATAGCTTTGAGATCACCTAGTCCCAAAACAGTTTCAAACTATGTGCAATGATTTCCAAGCTTCGAAAAAAAACATAATTGAAAATTAAGATATTGAGAATTTTAATAATTTAATTGATAAGTTTGCATGTTAAGGACAGATGATACAAGCAATTTTTTTTGGAAGAGATATGAAATCATATCACAAGTTTAGAAAAGAGGATAACTCTAAGAAATTTTTTCTCCTAGGAACTAGAAAATGAAATAGACGTAGAAAATATTATAAACATTTAAATAAAAACCAAATATAGACAAATAACACTCAGTGAATGTTTCAGAAATGTTACCTTGGTAAAAGTGTTATATAAACTTAAGAAAAAAAATACTAAGCCAGGTGAATTTTATACAGAAAAACAAAATGACATAAAATCAGCAATATCAGATATTTAGACTAATTAGCTCTGTGGCTTCTGAGTGATATAGATAATTCTAAATTTCTTACAGATTGCAAAATTTTAATATGACAATTTATTCATCTTACTTCATTTCGCAGATGAATCCAGCCTTAGCGGTACAGTAATGGTCGTTCCAATGGAAATTATACGGCTTAAAGTACATGGCACAGTCCTGATGACTCTGGTAGTTGTCCGGTTAGTTCGGTGACCAGTCCTGAAATGATGCCGTGTTCTGGGTGGATGTCCATACCCACTCCCCCTCAAAACAATGTCTGATAGTCCTATCCAGTACCCCTCTGCAATATAACTGATACATGTAAGTCGTATATGATTCATGGTGTTAGACAAGGAATGTGCTTCTCAATCCTCCTTTTTAGGTCACCTGAGTAAACCCAGGATTACTTATTACCAAAAGGTTCTGTGAGCAATGAGCTCACTTAAAGATACCCCTGCCTCCCATATATATATAGTGAAATGGGAGTATCCATGTTTTGTTGTGGGAAACCCAAAAAAAATATAATATCTGTCTCACCATCTATCCTTAAATGTTATGCCTTTTCGTCTTTGTTCTAAGTTCCCATCATAACATGTAGTTTCGGTTTATGTTTATCTGTTGATTTAAGGAAGTGATGCAAAATAATCCTTTTTACCTTTCAAGAAGATGAAAAGTTCATTGAGAAACTAAAGCGTGAATTTAAAAGCATAGTTCAAATGTTTTCACATTGTAAAAGTCTGATCTGTAATTGTAAACTTAACATTTGAAAATATGACTGTAATACTCAATTCAATAAATGCTATTGAACTATCTTAAACATACTTTCTCTTGCCTGATATGTATATATGGAGAGAAATATTATTAACGCAAAAGTAAAAGAAAGTGTAAACTTGATTGGTAGTGTTTTCGATGCTATTTTTCAGGCAAAAGTACAGACATGGGTGTACAACAAATCGTGTATACAACAAAGGTGCAGTCTTGGAAGTGTTGATTATAGTCATGGTAGAGTATTTATTGTTGAATAAATAGAGGATATTCAATGTTTTGTAGTTGAATATGGAATTTATTTCACGAGTGGGACACGATTTTTGATATTTTCACGAGTGAGAAGCACGAGTGAAAATAAAAAAAAAAAAAAATCCTGTCTCACGAGTGAAATAAATTCTATATTCAACTACAAAACATTGAATTTTCTGTTTATTACATTTGAAAAAAAATTCTTTGATTTTTCCTTTCTCTCTGTATTTTTGTAATACAGTCATAGATTCGTGACGTCATAGTTGAGCGGTTGAGACGTCATAGCTATGTGAAGTGAAAACACTGTAAACATGGATTTAGCAACATGTGTTTGGTAATTTTGACAGTTTTATTCGTTGTCAGAATGGTTTTTTTATTTCCATCTATCTTATATTAGGTCAAGGGAGATTTTCTTTACAGCAATCTTCGTTATGGGAAGGGGAATCGAGAGTTTTTCCGCACTTCTGATAAACGTCACACTGTGACAGGATATCAATTTGATATCCTTTCACAGTGTGACAGGATATCATTTTTATTTAATGAATAAATTACAGTATTTCACGGGTAAAAAGTAATAAATTGTGTTTACTACAGAGAATGTCGTTGCTCAGACAGAAGTTTATATTTGTACAGGAGAGATAAATCTTCTATTGTTCACTATTTGATTTTTATCAGGCAGAGGTGTGGTGTAGAATATAGAATACATTTTGTAGATAAGATAGCTTCAGCTATTGATATTGCTACAGTGTTTGCTGACAACATACACTGACTCGTACGTTACAGGAGCTATCCTACAGAATTAACTCACGATTTAATCCTTTCACACACAAGATTCTTCATTTACACTTATTTTTTACGATTGCTACGTGGGTATGCTAAGGCGGCATTTAAATCATTTCTCTGGAAAGATTAAAATCTTACACTTATTAACGGGCATGTACAAGTATGAAAAAACTTTTCTTTTTTTTCAAATCTGAATAACAATTTGTTATGAGGTCTCATTTATACAGTGGAAAGGTATAACTAGATATAATTATTTCCTTTTCTAATTTTTTTCTCTGTGATAACACTTTGAAAGTTAGCAGAGTTGATTTCTTAATAATTCTACTGAAATGTAAATTAAGCAGGTCGATAGGTAAGGAGCGGCCAAATATCATGCAAATCTCATGTGAATCTGTCTTTGTGTCTGACACTAGGGAGGCCAAATATGCATATAAATCACGCGCAGCTGCCTTTGTGTTTGGCATCAGTGGGCGAGGACTAGTACTATTGAAATTGGCATTGGAATCCTCGTGTTATTTAAATCGATGTCTTCCTTTTTTAAAAAAAAATTTAAATCTACAATTTTATTTTACAATGAAAAGGAAATATAAGGATTCAATGTTTAGTATTGCATGCAAGGGACTTCAACGATAGTGTGAATCAAAGTACTGAGAGTACTGGGAAGCGCTAAGCATTGTTTTAATTTGAAATTCATCAGAATTTAAATTCCCTAATCGCATTGGATTAGGTACATGTAATATTTTGACGGTGCAGCTGTAAGGGGGGGGGGGGGGCAAAATCAGTTGTTTAATTGAAATTAACCCAGCTCTTGACTGACTTGACTGTTACATTAAATAACATCGAATGTAAGTTGTATTACAATAACAACGATTTTAAATATGCAAAAAAAATTAACAAAGATAATCTAATTTACTTTCTCTGTGTAATTTTTTAACGCAAGTGAGTTACTTTTATAACTTTTCTTTGTTTGTCACACCATAGGGCAGTAACACAGTTACCCGTCCGGACAACAAGATTACTTGTGTTGCATTGTGGGTCCAGGTTTCTGCGATAAAATTAAATTTATATCAATGTTACAGTACGATTTTTTTTCTTCTGACTCATCTCATTCAGATTATGTATATAGCTCTACATTAGCTGGAAAGCTGCGGGTTTTTTTTTTTTTTTTTTGGGGGGGGGGACAAATTTTTAATACCTAAGATGTTGCTGAAAACCTTCTAGTGAAATTTTGAACAATAAATCATTCTACTCTAAAAAATATTATTCGTACTTACTAAAATTCAAAATTGACGGTCGGCGACCGTGTCTGCCTTTGTTATTATCGGCCGCATAGGTAATCGATCTATTGGCTGTTGTATTTGAAAGTGCACGGGGAGAAATGAGATATTATTTTTAATTTGTTCCATTTAAAACATCCTTAATGATAAAATAGAATAAGGATTATGAAGAAAGGATTTTTAAAATGCCTTAAAATTTTGTTTGAACTGTTTATATTTAGTCATAGATATTTATAAAGTTATAATTTTTATATATTATAAACAGTTAAAAAAAATTCCTAGCATGGCAACTTGTAATATATACATGCAATCAATAAAAGTTACTGCGTATACAAATAATGAATAGAAATTGAACGTTTAAATTTTGTATTGAATATGCTACAGTTGAATAACACAATACTTTTTTTTTCAATATTTCTCATTAATTGTGATACCAATCCCTATTCGTGCAGTATCTTGATATCAACATGTGACAAAAATCCCCGAAGACTTTACTTCTTTTTTTTTTTTCATTAAATTGCTATAATATCAATTTTGGGTATAAGGATATTTCATTAAATTTCGTCTTTTTGATAAAAAAAACCATTCTTATCCTTCATCTCTGACTCTCACGCACATGAATTATAATTTATTTGTACCGAAAATTAAAAACGTTTGACCATTTTTCTCGTGTAATATTTGAAGCTGATTTGTCAATATTTCTTTTTAAAATAAAAATGTTTAATTAACTACTAGTAAACTCTTCTACTTAAAAATAAAAATATATCATATTAAAATTCGTGAGTATTTTCCATTGACTCATTTTGGCGGAATTACTTTAAAATGCTTCAGTTTTTTTTCTTCACTATGTAAAACATGCTGACAAGAATGAAATAGCCACAACACCCAAGCGTTCAATCTAAAGGAATTTTCTGCATCAAAATATTTTAATACAGATAAAGACTATATAGAAAACCTAGTTAAACATTTATTTTAATGGAATCTTACATGTACTACTAACAGATTTGATCAAATTTGATTTTTAGAAACTCATTTAAACTTTTCAATACACATGCGCATTAAATGTTTTTTTCGGTACCTGTATTAACTTTTTCGGATTACACCGCAGAAATAAGATTTGTGACATAATTGGTGTTTGCCAGTACTTATTGATATGCACCATATTGTTCAGAGATAAGATCCGCCAAATTTCCGTACATACGAAAATTAATATCAACTGTACTAATTTACACCTATTATGATAACTCCCACAATAAAGTAGCCGACAGAGGGTCGGGGATTTCCAGTTGTATATTTTTAGACGACTCAGTAGAGTTACATAACTTGCTCAGTGGCGCTGTATTTCGTAGGCTGTCTTAGCGCTTAAATATCACTCCGCGTCATATAGTTCATCATTTTGAAATCGAACATAATATACAATATTTATTTTCAAAAATATAATCACTTTTAATAAGAACGTACCATATATATTACACCAAGGAGATAATTAATGTCAACAATAGGAGCCAATGAACTGGTATTATAGAACTCCATTTGTTTACATAATTATATCATTAATCATAGAGGGCGCGTTAGGGGCGCGTTCAAGATCTTAGTGGTAGGTGGAATTTAAGTACAGAAACGAATTTAGAACAAGAATTTTGCTAGCCTAGCAGCCACGTAAAGAATTTGTATTATAGATATTTATGCTAAGTGATAATTTGTAATAGAATTCACAATTTACAATACGATTGAGTATGTAGCATTAAACTACGCGTAAGTTTACTGGCAACTATGGTACTGAACGCAGTCATATATACGGCCGGTAGAGGTCGTTGATAAAAAGATCATGCAAATCATCATGGAATCTGAAGACACCCTAGTAATCGCTTGCGCATGCGCGCTTAGCGCTTAAAAATGGGATATTTTATGCATAACGGGCCTCCCATGTTTCCTATTGTCAATAATGGCTTATGCTCTGGCATACTAAAATAACTAGACAGTGATTCCTTAAATATATTCTAGCAAAATTGTGTAGACCCTTTTGTATGTAAATTTATTTTTTTTTCTAAAACGTAATAAGTAAAATATGGTAGATATTACCCAGAAGGCATGGAACTGGGTATCCATTTGAAAGCTTTAAATGTTGAAAGATGGCCATGATAATTGCATAAAACACACGCTGGAAGTCACCATAACAAGAAAAAAAGCTTGCTCATTTTATGTTGGATAGTCAGGAAAAAGCCCAATATTCACCCAACTATGCTATCAAGAATATCAAGAAT